TTCTCTTTAGTTTCAACTGCCCTAGGAGCTGTATCAGTGAAGAAATTGTTTTGGCATAAGTCTGAGATTTTGTTGCCTTTGTATTCTTCTAGAATTTTTATGGTTTCCTGTCGTACATTTAAGTCCTTTATCCATTTTGAGTTTATTCTTGTGTATGGTGTAAGTTGGTGGTCTAGTTTCATTTTCTTGCATATATCTGTCCAATTTTCCCAACACCATTTATTGAAGAGACTATCTTGGCTCCATTGTATGTTCATGCCTCCTTTGTCAAAAATTAATTGAGCATATTGGTTCGGGCTAATTTCTGGACTCTCTATTCTATTCCACTGGTCTATATGTCTGTTCTTGTGCCAGTACCAGGCAGTTTTGAGAACAGTGGCTTTGTAATACAGTTTGATATCTGGCATTGAGATCCCACCTACTTTGTTCTTTCTCAGGATCGCTGCAGCTATTCGGGGTCTTTTTTTATTCCAGATGAATTTTTGGAGAGTTCGTTCTAGATCTTTGAAGAAGGCCATTGGTATTTTAATGGGAAGTGCGTTGAATTTATAGATTGCTTTGGGTAGTATGGACATTTTAATGATGTTGATTCTACCAATCCAAGAACATGGTATGTTCTTCCATCTGTTTATGTCTTCCTCTATCTCTTTTTTCAGCGTCCTGTAGTTTTCTGAGTAGAGGTCTTTAACCTCTTTAGTTAAGTTTATTCCTAGGTATCTTAATTTTTTTGGGGGGATGGTAAATGGGATTGTTTTTCTAATCTCTCTTTCTGAAAGTTCACTATTGGTGTATAGAAATGCCTCAGATTTCTTGGGGAAAATCAGTGATTTTTAGTACACACAAAATTGTGTGTTGGTTCTGGCCAAGATGGAGTAATAGGGACAAGATTTACCTTCTCACCTCAAACAACCAAAAGAAAAAAAAGAGAAAAAACCACAGACAAGAATATATAAAACAATGGTTGTCAAGACACTGGACATCGGGCCACAAAGGGTGGTGACCTTGAGAGAAGAGATAGAAGAGAGGTGAGGGCACCTATGAATGCCAGCTTACTGCCTTGAGAGAGTTTCCAGGCCACAGTGCAGGGAGGAGGACCCAGAGTTAAAAGAAAGTCATTTTGCAATAATAAAAGGGTCAGTTCATCAAAGGATGTGTCAGTCTCAAACTCCTATGCACTTAATAACAGAGTGTCCAAATACATGCAGCAGAAACTAATAGGAAAAATAGGCAAATTCACAATTACCCTCTGAAATTCAACACCCCTCTCTCAATAACTGACAGCACAAATTGACAGAAAACCAATATGGATATAGAAAACTTTGACAACACTATCAACCAACTTGATCTAATTGACACTGATAGAATACTTCATCCAATAACAGCAGAAGATGTGTTCTTTTCATGTGCACATGGAACATTTACCAAGACAGACCATATCCTGGGCCATAAACAAACCTCAATATGTTTTTTTTTTAAATATATTTTATTGATTTTTTTACAGAGAGGAAGGGAGAGAGATAGAGAGTTAGAAACATCGATGAGAGAGAAACATCGATCAGCTGCCTCCTGCACATCTCCCACTGGGGATGTGCCCGCAACCCAGGTACATGCCCTTGACCGGAATCGAACCTGGGACCTTTCAGTCCGCAGGCCGACCCTCTATCCACTGAGCCAAACCGGTTTTGGCAAACCTCAATATGTTTTAAAGAATTCAAATGATATACTGTTTATTCTCTGACACAATGAAATTAAAACAGAAACCAATGACAGAAAGATCTCTGGAAAATTCCTAAATACTTGAGAACTAAATAATATATTTCTAAGTAGCCAATGGGTCAATGAAGAAATCAAAGGGGAAATTAGAAAGTATTTTGAACTAAATGAAAAGAAAAACATAACTTATTAAATTTTGTGGGATGCAGCTAAACGCGTAGTTAGGGGGGATTTATAGCACCAAATGAATACCTAGGGAAAAAACAAATGTTCAAATCTATGACATCAGCTCCTACTTTAAGAAATTAGAAAAAGAGAGCAAATCAAATCCAAAGTAGGCAGACAAAAGGAAATAATACAGATGAGAGTGGAAATCAGTGAAGCCAAATGGGAAAAATCAATGGACTAAAAAAATGGTTCTTTGAGAAAATCAATGATATTGATATATCTCTAGCCAGCATGATCAGGAAAAAAAAAAAGAAAAGATGCAAACTACCAATATCAGGAATGAGAGAGATAACAACACTAGAGATTCTACAGATACTAAAAGGACAATAAAAGAATATTATGAACAACCTTATGCCAATAAGTTCGATAACTTTGATGAACTAAAAAATTTTGAGACACAAACTACCAAAGCTCACTGAAAAAAAAAAAAGATTACCTAAATAGCCCTATTAAAAAATTGAATTTGTAGTTTAAAATCTTCATAAAAAGAAAACCTCAGGCCCAGATGTCTTCTTAGGTGAATTCTACTAAACATTAAATAATACCAATTTTATTCAGACCCTTCCAGAAAATTGAAGAGGGCATGCTTCCCCATTCACTCGATAAATTCAACATTACAAGAAACCTACAGACCAAGATCTCTCAAGAACATAGATGCAAAAATTCTAACCAAAATTGAGCAAATCAAAGCCAAGAATATATAAAAAGACAATTCATCATGACCAAGTAAAGTTTATCCCAGGGATGCAATGTCGGTTCAATGTTAGAAAAACCAATGTTAATTTGTCATGTTAACAAACTAAAAAAGAAAAATCATGATTGTCTCAGTAGACACAGAAAAAACATTTGACGAAATCCAACATCCACTCCCGATAAAAACTCTCAGCAAACCAGGAATAGAAAGGAACTTCCTCAACCTGATAAAGGGCATCTATTAAAAACCTACAGCTAACGTCAAACTTAATGCAGAGAGCAAACGCTTTCTCTTTAAGATCAAGAACAAGACAAGTATGTCTTTAGTCAGTGAAATAGGCAAGAAAAAAGAAATAAAAGCCAGCCAGATTGGAAAGAAGTAAAACTATCTTTACTCATAGACATGATCATCTATGCAGAAAATCCAATGGAATACAAAAAAAAAAACAACCACAAAAACTAGAATAAGTGAATTTAACAAGGTTGCAGGTTACCAGATTAATATACAAAGTTCTATAGTATTTCTATATACTAGCAACAAATAATTGAAAACTAAAATAAAAAAACCCAAATATCGTTTATAATACAGATGTTGTATAAATCTGACAAAATATGTAAAAGACCCAGGCACTCAAAACTACAAAACAATTAATAAGAGACTTAAAGACTTAAATAAATGGAGAGGATACTGTGCTCATGGGTTGAGAATTCAACATTGTTATGATGTTAATTCTCCCAAATTGATCTATATATTCAATAAATCCCAATCAAAATCTAGAGTTTCAGAATTTAACTGATTCTAAAATTCATATGGAAATGCAAAGGACCTAGACTAGCCAAAACAATTTTGAAAAAGAACAAAGCTGGAGATTTAACAGTACCTGACATCAAGATGCATTATAAAGCTACAGTGTTCAAGACAGTGTGGTACTGGTGTTAACATAGACATACAGATTAAAGACATAAAATAGATAAACAATTCTCACCACAGGCACAAAAGACAATTCAGTCAGGAAAGGACAGTCTTTCAACAAACAGTGCTGGAACCACTGCATATTCATATACAAAAAACGAACTTTGTTCCATGCTTCATACCACACACAAATGTTAACTCAGGGAGATGATAAACCTAAAACCGTTAACCTTCTAGAAGAAAATGATGGAAAAAACTTTTGTGACCTTGGGTTAGATGATGACTTCTTAGAACATCAAAAGCACGTTCCATAAAAGAACAAAATAATAAATGGACTTTGGGACATTTTAACAATCTGGTCTTTGACAGACACTGTTAAGAGAATGAAAAACAAGCCACAGGCTGGGAGAATATATTTGCAGATCGCACATCTGGCAGAGGACTTAGATCCCAGTGGTTTTCAAAGCTTCCCTCCTACAATGACAGTCTAGGAGTAACGGCTCTTTGTTTAAGGGAGAGACTCGGAATCTAGAACAGTGGCTCTCTGAATTCAGCATTACCTGAAGGGCTTGTTAAAGCACAGACTGCTGGGCCTCACGCTCAGAGTTTCTGAGCCAGTATGGCTTGGGGGATTTCAGTTTTGATAAGTTTTCTGGTGACGCTGCTGCTGCAGGCCTAGCTACCACACTTTGGGAACTGCTAATCTAGACCAATTTAGGCTCAACTCGTAACACAATGTCAGATGCAAGTTTTCCCCCTCCAAGGGACATTTACCAACTAAACTGTGTTTAACTGAGAAATTTATTTTCCACTTTTTTATTAGCTAGAGACATCTGTAAATGTTAATCAGAGCTTCTGATCAGCAAAGAAATAACCCACATGACATCACTGAGTTGGCATGAGTCTCGCCCTGCCTCTTTGTTGAATACACATTTTGGTTTCCACAAAGCTGTTCAGAATTCACCCTGGAAACCATACATGGCCTTGGACCAACTGCCTCATCATACCAACTGTTCCCTAATGGCAACTAGAAGAAAACCATCATGCCCCACTGTAGCCTGTCAACTTTCCCTGACCCTTTGCCTCTAACCCCCAGCCCCCCTGCAGGGCTGCCAGCCAGGTCTCACCGTCCAAGATGGCCCACTGATTGTCAATCTCTGTGTGTTTCAGGTAGGAGTCTTCGATGGTGGGGTCGTAGTCAGGCACAAAGATCTTCTGGAAGAACTGGATGGTGAGGGCACTCTTGCCCACGCCCCCATCCCCCACCACCACCAGCTTGTAGGTGGGGAGGTTGTCACTGGGGACGGCGCTGGTTGCCATGTTTCCTGTGGGTCAGACCTGGGGAAGCAAGACATGAGGAGTGAGGCAGGGACCTTTTCCTCTCTGACTCAGGGGAAAATAGTCCCGGGTTTTCTTGCCTTTTTACGGAGTAATAAACACTCCCAATTTTATAAAGTTTTGAAAATGAAAAAAAGCAAATGAATATTAAAATGTCACCCATGACCCCACCACCCAGAGACAGTCACTGTTAGAATGACTGATTCAATCATTTACTGAATCCCAACTCTGTGCCAGGACTGGCCTCAGGGACACAGTACTACTAGATGCCACATGGTCTCTAATAAGCACAGCCAAAAGCCATGTCAAAGAAGCTTTCCCACCACTAAACTCTGCCCTGTGCCTACCTGTGCAGGTAAACATGAGGTTGTGGTCTGAGCAGGGACAGCATGGAGGTTCACCTTTCCCATCAACTCCGACCCATTGGATGAAGAGTTGGGAAGGATTTGAGACCATCTTTGCGTAAAGGAAAGAAGGCCCCAACAGCGTAGCACACCTAAGCTCAGGGTCTCAGGGGCCTCTTCCAACTCTCCCAATTCTGTGATCCTGCCCCCTTCCCCTCCGCCAGCTTGACTGTTATTATGCACAGAGTCGTGCTAGAATCTCGCGGCATCTGGTCAACCCGCTCCAGTTGGGGGAAAGGAAGGGGAGGAGCTGGGCTCAGTTTTGTTTTGATGATGTTGAGTCCAGCTAAGGCAACGGTTCTCCACCAGGGGCAATTCTCCCTTCCATCCCGGGATGTTGCAATGTCTGGAGATATTTCTGGTTGTCAAAACCAAGTGGTTGCTACTGGCATCTAGTCAGCAGAGGCCAGGAATGCTGCTGAACATCCTACAATGCACAGGACAGCGCCTCCCCGCACCCCCCACCCCCCCACGGCAAAGAATTGTCCATCCTAAAGCATCAGAAGTGCCAACACTGAGAAACCTTGAATTAAGGTGCCTAGGAGGGAGCTGGAAATATGGGGCTAGGATGCAAAAGAATAATTGCGCCTGAACAGATGAGGCCTGATTGTGAAGAGGCAACAGCAGAGAAGTAGAGTGGCCTCTGGAAATGGTGTCACAAAGTGACAAGGAGGGGCAGCCAGGGAGCATGGAAGGAGCACTCAGACAAATAGGAGGGACGCCAGGACCTGTTATAACGATGGAAGCCCACAGTCTCCAGTAGCAGGAGGTTGACAGCCCCAAACGTTAAGCACCATTGGGAGTGAGGGAGAGTCACCTACAGAACAATTTGAGGGTTGCTGCCAGGGACCTAAGCTGCTAACTGCGGGCCCAGCCAGGGAGATGCTATGCCACCTCCTGGTGGGCATTCCTGGGCAGCATGAGAGCGGGCCTTGAGCTGAGGGGGGAGAAGGCTTGAGCCTACCTCAGTGTACTGAGCAAGTTGGGGAAGGTGCAGTGTATGTGTAACTGGGAAACTTAAGGACTCACAGCAGAGTGTGAGGAGGTAGTTGCCCAGGGGAAGGGGGAGGGCCCCAAACTGGGTGTCCTGTGTGCATTGCTGCTGCCTGGGAAGGCCACTGCCTCTCTGAGCCATGGTTTCTTACCTATCAGATCAAAGGACTGGCTTTTACAGTTATGTTCAACTCCAGAAGAGTCCTCAAGTCTAGATCTCAACAGAAAGGGTGTTAGATACAAATGTGGGTTATGTGGCCACACTGATTTGCATGGGGCTACAGGCGAGAGTCATTGCATAATCTCCTGCAGTTACTGAAGCTTGATGTTGACATTTAGGATTTCCCTGCAGTGTGGGGAAGTAAGGGTGAAAGTGCAAATCTGTCCACGCTGGTCTGAGACTGCACTCGCATAAATATAGCAACATTTCAGATGGACATGCCCTCTCTTGTAGCTGTACCAACATGTGAAAACTTATTCTAAGGAGATATACAGACAAGTGTACCATCTGTTAAGAGTCAGGAAAGAAATGAAAATAACTTAAATGTTGGGAGGGGTAGGCTAAAGGAAAAGTTACCCACACAATGGAACACTATGCGGCCATTAAGAAGATGGTATTCAGCCCTGGCCGATGTGGCTAAGTTGGTTGAGAGTCACCCCATGAACTGAGAGGTCATTGGGTCAGTGCCTGGTCAGGGCACATGCCAGGGTTGCAGGCTCGATCCCCAGTAGGGGAGGTGTGCAGGAGGCAGCCAAGTGATGGTTCTCTCCCAACAATGCTTCTCTCTTCCTCTCACTTCCTCCTCCTCTCTCTCTGAAGTCAATAAAAACATATTTTTTTAAAAAGGATGATATTTACTTACCTAAAAAAAGTTTACATTATGTATAAAAAAATAAAACAGGCTGCAAAACAGCAAGTACCTATGACTGCACTTCCATAAAGCTACCCATCTGTGAACCTACATGCCTAGATCCAGGCAGAGAGAGGATTGGCAGGTGGCTGTGTCTAATGCAGATTTCAGGGAACTTTCTCAATTTTCTTTTCTTTAAGAAGCATGTATGATATTTGTATATTAGAAAAGCTTAACCATATTAAAATGTTTCCAACAAAATAAAATGTTTAGGCCACCTGAAAACGTGTGATTGCCTCTCCTTCGAGTGGGGGATGGAGGGACCAGGGCCAGCTGTAGCCCCTGCATCTTGTGGTCTCCCTACAAAGATGGGGGTAAGTTGAGACTTCAATGATCTATCTCCCACATGACAGAGATGGCGGTCCAAGGGGCCACAGAGGCCTTGGAGGGAGACGGAGATGGGGAGAGGTGGGAGAGAGCCAGCTCCTCACTGCCCCTCCTGGCCGGGGGTGAGTGGTGATGCTGGGCCCGGGTGCGTGTGTTTGTCTGTGAAAGAGGCTGTTTTTAAAGCTCCCTTCCACTCTCTGCTGGCAGCAACATGAACAAGAAATACTAAGTGGGTGGGAAGGTATCGGGAAGGAAAACTGTTTCTCTTGATTTCCTTCTCAAAATAAAACAGGATTAAAAAAATATGCTAGTAAACATGATAGAGAACATGAACTGAACTTGTGAGTCAGTGCTCAGACCACCCGCAACAGACTCACCAGGGACTTGCTAATAATCGCCCTCTGCTTGTCCTGCAAGGCTGCGGGCAGGATGCTGCCAGAGGAGGGCCCCTTCTTTCACGGTGCCCAGCAATTGGGGGTTGAGTTCCGGAGAGATCACAGGAGGCCAACTCGGGGTTCCATTCCAACTCAGACACAACGGAACAGGGCTGGAATGCACAGCTAACACCAAAATTGGACTGGGTCCCTTGTGGTAAAGACCCTTTAGTGCTGCCCACAGCTGATGGGTCAAGCCAGGCTCCTTCACTAGACACTCAAGGCTGTCACTGGCTGCCATCACGAACCCTCCAGTGGTCGGTACCTGTAGTCTCTCACACTCTCCTCTCTCCCCCGACCAGCTCTGTGTTCTCCCAGGGTGCCCTATGGTCACACCGCATCCTCTGCACACCCGTGGCCCCAGAAAGAGCAAAGATCTCTTCACAGGTCAGGCCTGAGCCTGGGAATCGCACTCCCCTGAGAGGCATCACCTCTACCCTGGGTTCGAGACCCGGAGTTCTGGTACAGAGGCCACCACACACCTAAAATCTTCTACGCTTGTATTATGCACAAAAGGGCAGGGACTAGGGACTGCCTCTGGTCCCTGTCCGTAGCACAAAGCCTGGCATAGCACCAGCATGGAGCAGATGCTCGCAGAAGGAACTGGAAGCTCAACCCTGGCATTTCTGAACAACCGTCAGACAACCTACTGTCCACAGCACTGGCCTCACCATGCAGAAGGCTAAGGGGCAAGTCTCCCAGCCAGGGGTTGGGATTACCTCCCTTCCTCTACCAAGTCGAACCAATCACACTGATAAGACCTTTCTGGGAGCAGTTGTGAGCCCAGGAAGAAAAGAAGGGGGTGCCAGGGTGGGAGAATGGGTCCAAAAAACTCCCCAATTCATAAAGGCTCTTGGCTGCATCTCCTCCTAATGGACGTGTTTTTCCAGTCTTCAATCTCCCCCCAGATAATCCCTGACTAAATGATGTCTTTGTAAATGGGGAAGGAAGGCAAAATGCCAAAGGGCATGCACTACAGGCCACAAAACAGGCTGGTCTCACGTGGTGCAGAGAAAGATTTTTTTTTTAATCCTTACCCGAGGACATGTTCATTGATTTTTACAGAGAGGGGGAGGGAGGGAGGGGGGGAAGGGAAACATTGATGTGAGAGAGAAGCATCTATCCGTTGCCTCCTCCACAGGCCCCAATCAGGGCCAGGGATTGAACCTGCAACCTAGGTACGTGTCCTGACTGGGAATCGAACCATGATCTTTTGGTGTATGGGCCGACACTCCTACCCACTGAGCCACAGCGGCCAGGGCGAGAAATATTTTTTAAAGTCACCACTGGATGAAAAATTGGTTGGCGATTAAGGAGCAAACTGCTTATATGCACAGCCTATTCAACTGGAAGGCACCTTGGAGATCACTCTAGAACAGGGGTGGGCAAACTTTTTGACTCGAGGGCCACAATGGGTTCTTAAACTGGACCGGAGGGTCGGAACAAAAGCATGGATGGAGTGTTTGTGTGAACTAATATAAATTCAAAGTAAACGTCATTACATAAAAGGGTACGGTCTTTTTTTTTTTTTTAGTTTTATTCATTTCAAACGGGCCGGATCCGGCCCGCGGGCCGTAGTTTGCCCACGGCTGCTCTAGAATGTTGGTTCTTGACTTCTAGTCAAGATGGCAGTGTGGGTAAATGTACTCCTTGAATCTTCCCACAACCACATCAAAATTGCAACTAAACTACAGAACAACCATCATTCAGACCTCCTTGACATCTCGCTGGATGGAAGCCCTACT